TAGTCTTCACAGACCAATAGTATGTTCATGTTACTTTTCCACTTAGCATAGTTATCACCGTCTAATTTTTCAGTCGCTAGTAGTGTGATAATGGGATTCGACATATTGCTGGAAATAAATAGAATATTCATCTAATCAATTTATGTGCATGAATATCAAGGCATGTTAATTTTGGCATAATTAAATATGATGCATGAAGCACATGAAAAATACATAAATCATGTTTTAATTCTAGGTGCCAACGATAATCTAATTTTCCATATATAAAGTGTACCTTTAGGTAGTCAAGTTATATGCCAATTAGACCGAGACTCTTCTCAGTTAATAAATATAGTCAAAATATCTCATATTTTCATATTTATTAACTACCGTTATTTTTAGTCAAAATATAACCAACAGATTTGATTATATTTTATGAGTGTGACCCACCGTTTTAGATCCCATAGACTTAACTCCGGATTGCTACCTTTGGGTAGTCAATTCAGAAATACATCTTGAAATCTTATCTCTAGGAAGCCAACCTTGTTATTGATCCGGCAAGGACACTCTCCTTTAGGAGGGCGATTCAATGTCGCTGCAAAACCCCTTTCCGGATGTCACGGTGTTGCGCTAACGGCGGAGACTAGTGGGTCGTATTGTCATACAACCCTCTCCCACTCATTATTTTGCAAATATGTATTTTGTTTAAAAAACATCTCATGATTTTCAAATTGAAAAATAAACAATTTATTTTTCGGATATGTGAAATTCTAAAATTTAACTCTTAAATTCAATTTCACATGTAACATTATTTTGCAAATTAATTTTGCAACTTAAAAATCAATTTAATCATATTAAATTGATTTTAGCACAAGGTTCTTATTTTATTTTATTTTTCTAAGATCCTTTTATAATAAATAAAATAAATAATAACTAATGCGCGTATATGCATGGCATGTTATAAAACATATGAGTAGGCACATTATATCTATATGGCATGTTATATGCATTGACATATAATATATAATTATCAACATAAAATATAAATATATGCAATCGGCTATTGAGATGGATTTGACCGGCTCCCATGGAAAAATAAATTACAACTCAATCGAATCGAATAAATAAATAATTGCAATAACTATATTCTTCCGTTACATCAACGGGTCTTCGATTCTTGAACTCTCGGGTCCATTCGGGTCTAATTCCCGAATCCGGGCTGCTAGCCGCGCACCTGGGTCCGCGCGCGCGGGCGCGGGATGGCCGTGGACTGTGCGCG